ACATGAGTAGGAGCGAATTCTGTCCTCCGAGGTCTTCAACGGTCTTCAAGGTAACATTAAAGGACATGAAGTTCTTACAGAAATCAGACATCAAGGAAAACATGAGTAATTTTGACCAGCAGGTTCTTTCTCTTTGAGGTTCACATGTTTGCACTTTATCTCAACTCTTGGGATTTTAGAAGTACATTTGATTTTAGAATGTCAATTTTAAGTCAAAAATTAGAATGTTATCATCCAGAGTTTTAAGTATACATGAACTACAATTAAAAATCAAGTTAGTTTAGCCGAGTGGTGGTGGTGCACACCTTTAATCCCCAGCAGTCAGGAAGCAGAGGCAAACAGATTTCTGTGAGTTCAAGGCCAGCCCAGACTATAGTACAGAGCACCAGGACAGGAAGACTCCAAACCTACACAGAGAACCCTGTCTCGAAAAACAAAACAAAACAAGAAATCAAGTTAGTGTGTAAGTGTAGAATTTTTTAAGGTTGGTATTTGAGGGATATATTATTTTTATTTTTTTGTTGAGTTCATTTTTCTGTCAGGTTCAAAGTAGATCTAAATGCTATATCTGGGGGCTGGAGAAAGAGCCAATTGGTTAGAGACATTTGCTGCTCTTGCAGACAGCTGGAGTTTGGTTCCTAACACCCACATGAGGCAGCTCTCAATAGCCTGTAACTCCAGGAGATCTGATGCCATCCTTCCTCTGTGTCTGTGGTCTCCTCCATGCATGTGCACATATACACATAGACGCACACAGCATAAACAAATAGTTAAATAAATCTTTAATACTTTAGCTATTGTTGAAGTTAGGGTCAACCCATCTCAGTCCATAAAGCTGGAACTGCCTGTCTGTTGGTTTATTCATTTGTTTGGTCTCATCTCTTAAGGTTCACAAACTCACTCCCTGCTTTTGCATTGTCCCCCAACAAACCAGTGTGAGCCAGAACCATCATACGCCATAATACTGCGCGTACATGAAACCCATTGAGCCTCAGGCATTGTCTCTCCCTCAGCTCTATGACTGTAAGGAGTTGTGGCTCACCGTCACGGCCCAGAATCACAAGAGGCATTCTTCCACAAGTCACTAACCATCCAAAAGATCAAAATTCAGAGTATCGCATCCACTGAATGCACACTGCCTTCCCATCATCATGTGTGTACAGTCAGGAAATCGAGTGGCTCCATTCTATCAGGATATCTGTATTGTAAAACAACAAATAGCAGTGATACAAATGCTTTAAGTCCAGCTGTGCTTGTCAAAGTACTACGATGTTTAACTGATCTGTTTTTTCAAGGAGTTAAGGGAAAGTAACTGGGTCCGAATGACAATACAATGTTGTTCTCATGTCTATTCGAACAGCCCATTTCTGGTTAACTTGCTTTGCCGGACTTTTGTTTCCCAAAGGCAGCACTGCCTGCCCCATCTGTTTGGTTCTTTATGTGGGGTCTGCGCACAAGGACCTTCTCCAGTGTGAGAAACCAGAAGTTGCTGTCAAAAGATGTCAACGGTTTAGCACTTTCCAAGCGGTCACAGTTCTTAATCTCCCCCTTCTCGGCCTTGAGTGGAGGAGATAACCCAGCAGACTGCCTTTGAAATCATAGTGAACTCATTGACTCCCATCAGAAGCACGTCAGTGGTTGCAAGCATTACAGTGTAGATTAAATCCTCAAAGACTCTGAACTGTGTACAAAAGTGGAATGACAGATAGAGAACTTCTTGTTGTTCTGAGGGCCCAAGATCAAATTGCCTCTGTCTTTGATATTATATTCCATTGATCTTGATTTATCACGGCCACTTAGAATTGCTTCGCAAACAAAACTTAGTTATCTGGTGTTATAAATGTCCTAGCATGTTAGAGTTCTGGGTGGACATGGGTGGGGTACTATTGTAGGGCCAGCATCCACAAAGCTGACACACGGGATCACAGGTCCAAGGACATCCCGGCCTGTATAGCATAGCAGAACCCCTCTTCCCCCACAAACTTAACTGGAAAAAAAAGTTCAAGACTACTCTGTCCATTAAAGGCAAAACAGACAAAGAGACATTCCAAAGTGAGGCCAAGAAACAGCTTGCTCAGCGGTGTGGTACTTCCTGCCCTACCCAAAGCCCTTCCCAGCACCATGAAACAAAACTGTTATCTTCAATGCCAATGTCTTAACGTTTAATTAATGTGACCATACCACAATGTCCCTTCTTTTCTGTAGCAATACACTCATATTGCCGTATCAGAGAACTACGTGAGTACGTAGCTTATAAGAACACAAAATTGAATCATGAAAATTAGAAAAAATTTTTGTTTTTACATTTTAAAGAGAATTGCACAGTGTGCCAAAGATCTGTTCTTTGGGGTATGGTTCACCTAATCCCCTTAATCAGGAATGCTCATTTTAAAACACATATCAACTTAGGATGCAATGTTGAAGTTCCACAATGCCTTGAAATTCCAAATGTCTCTTACTGGAAATGCTTAAATAATATTTTTCTGTTCAATTAAAAAGACTTTTTGATGACCATTTAATTTTGAGATTCTATGTAGACTTTCCTCCAAAGAGCCAAATGCTGGTTTAGAAAGGAAATTTGTGTTGAACTTACGACATATTTATTCAGTATGTCAAAGGAGAAATTATAACAATGTAATTGAAATATCATTAAGGCCAATTAGTGTCTTTTTCTTCAGATTCCGGAATCAGGCCACTGATCACTCTGTAACACAGAGTCAGTATTTTAATAGGCTCAGTAGACAGATGAGTTTTTATATGCAGAGAAGGGCTATTAAAAAAAAAAACACGTAGAAGCAAAGGGCAGTAACCAATTGTTTGGAAATCACACTTCCTGTAAGGTGAGATGAGAAAGAAACTGGGTAGCTGGAAGTTTCTTTCAGGTTAGTTTTCATAAGAAATAAAGCATGAGACCATGGTTACCATATTGATTGACACTGCCCCCTTTAGCGAACCTGATTGAATCTCTTGCTCGGGTGGTTAAAGGATAATCCCATGGTTTTTCCTTTGAACCTTAGCACGCATGACCCATTTGGGTCCTAATGTAGGAGCCTCGTCCCCATTATAAGCTCCTCGAATTTCTATTTAATAATCCCATTGGAAAGTATGTTACTATCTCACTAACCAAATGGAAGGCCCATTTGAACAATAACATTCCTTATTCACTCCTGGGTCTTTAGCACTCGTGGAGGCATGCAGTAAAGATTCACCTAAAATAATCTCTGTTTGGTTAGAATAATTAAAATAAGGAAACTCATTAATTTTATTATAGTCTCTGTCACCTTACCAGAAGTTATTTTTCATAGTAAGCTAAAAGGAAAGCTACCATAAAAACTCAGGTTTTATTAAGAGCTCTTAGAAGAATTTGTAAGAGAATAGCGAATTCATGAATCAGAGTCAGCAAAAAATGCTACATTAAAATACAGTTACAGTAAAGGAAAAAATGATGGAGAAGTGAAGATTCTTTTTGAACAATCTGAAATATTAATTACTATATTGAATGGCCTAGTTCAATTCAAAAGTAGGGGAATGTGGAAACCCATTTAAGGGGTAGTGGGGTGTGCGATTTGGCTGAAGATGCAGCTTGGAGAGTATTCCAAATGTTTATAAGTAAACACAGTAGTGTCTGTGACTATCCCAACTCAGAGTTTTGCCCCACTTTGAGTATCTGTATGGAAGGCAGAAGCTAGTTGTCAGCTCAAGATGGAAGAATGAGACTTGTTGACAACTTCAGTGTAAGCGGTGTCAATGTGGGAGAACCAGAGGCTACAAGACTCCACATCAGAAGCACTCTAAAGAGCGGTATGATGGGTCTTCTGATAGACAGTGGAGAAGGGGCAAGAGCCTCTTTTGCATGGGGAATCTGCATGGAAGAAATACCTAAATGGAAATCACAGCCCTGCAGATTCAGAAGCAAGGCGAGGAACAGGGGCTGGCCAAGAGTCTATTTCAAGTGGATTATGGAATCCCTGGGACAAAAAGTAGATTTAGGAAGGTGGGATTGGAGTGGGGCAATACACTGAGGATTGAAGGCAGAGCTCTTGGGAACCTTCAGGTTAAAATGAAGGACAGAATGAGAAGCAATAAAGACAAAAGAGGACCACAGAGTGAGGATTAGCCTTGGGCAGCTTTCCTTCTTCTAGACAGCAGCAGACCCTGAGCCCTGTCCACTGTCAGTTCAGCAAATTCAGGAAAAAGACAGTTGCTAAGCAAAGAAACACAATTTGCTCTGTTCCTTCTAATATATTCTTGCTATCGGCAGTTACAAAAAAAAAGGGGGGAAAGAAAGAAAAAGTGCCCCCATCAAATTAGCTACTTGAATTGCCTTAAATATCAGGGTACAACTGATTAAGTTCACGTGCTAGGGAGGAAAATAAGTGCTTTTCAAGAAGGAGGGTGAGGAGAGGGGAACAGCTCTTTCCATAGTTCAAGACATTTAGGGCCTTAACACATGAAAATTGCCCTCTGAAGCAAAAGTCTTTGTTTAAAAAAAAATGAATAAACTATTCAATACGTTTGATGACGTTCCAGCTATAAGAATCTCCCAATTTATTCCTTTGCTTTAAAAAGGTGAAAAAGCTTAATAACATGCTTTTTGGGGGGAAGGAAAAGAAAGGAAATATTTTGCACTAAAAGTAAATACTGTGGGAGAAAACCGTTCCACTATGGGATATTGAACAAACTACCGCAGCCAATTTTTAACTGGCTTCTATAATGATATTCAAGCTTGAGTTTAATTTGTATTTTTGTGCCATTATGGTGGTGGGCAATCATGTAACCTGCTTCGTACAAATGTCCAGAGCAGAAACTGTGCCACGCCTGTCGGCATTACAGACTGTGTTATGAGAATCTTACAGATTTCAGTTTGATATTAAAAATGGCATTCTGCTTTGCAAAACTCAGCCCATTGGCTGAGACGCCGGCAAGGCGTCAGGCTATAGACGACGATTACGCTGACATCGTGCCAACCTTTTATCTTTGCAGAAAGGCCAGTGAGACTTGAACTCTGAGCGGGCCGTTCGAACAAGCGGGACCGATGTGCCCAGAGAAGGAATGAAGTATGGATGTAAAAGAACGTCGGCCTTACTGCTCCTTGACCAAGAGCAGGCGAGAAAAGGAACGGCGGTATACGAACTCGTCCGCAGACAATGAGGAGTGTAGGGTCCCCACGCAGAAGTCTTACAGCTCCAGCGAAACCTTGAAAGCTTTTGACCATGATTCCTCGCGGCTGCTTTACGGAAACAGAGTAAAGGATCTGGTCCACAGAGAAGCAGACGAGTATACTAGACAAGGTAGGTACACACTCTAGTCAAACACAAGGCATGTGGGCATGTTCCTAGCTTCGGGGTGACCCTGGGTTTCAAGCCCTAGATGGTGAAATGACTATTTTTTTTGTCCTGGCTGATGGTTCCAATTTTGAAATACCCAGTGGGTCACACAGTGTACCAGATGAGAGATAGAAAGACGTAGGCTCACGGACCTGGGTCCTGACACACGTGGAATAGAACTCCTCAGCCCACATCTGTGCACGTATGAAGTTGAGAGTTTCTACATTCACAAACACTGTTGTTAGAGATGGTGAAGGAAAACAGGTATTGAGGGGAAAATATCTCACAAGAACGCCTAAGAGTAGAGTTAGGGGTCTAGCTAATCTCACATTCCATCCAGCCCATCCATCCACTTGTGTCTATATTACACAAGATAGGGGCATGAAAAGAGTCTCTATTCTTTCTCCCCTGCAACCTCGTACTTAACACAGCCTACATTTCCCAGATGACCCCAGGACTTGGTCATTTGCACATGTTTCCTGCCCATTTTCTACTCTGTTTTCCTGCTCCCTGCCTTGCCATTCAAACGGTGACTCTTCTAATTTTAGTCCGCCATCTTAGAATGACTGACCCTCGTACTTGTAAACAAGTCACGTGTTTTAAGGAGGGCATGCAGATAACTTTGTCTTGTACAAGACTGAGATGCGGGCAAGGTTTCGCCAGTGAAAATAAAAACCTCTTACATGAGCACTTCAAAGTCCATAGACCTAGTGCCCATTGGTTAATTCAATCGAGAAACTAGAAGAGAGGGGATGTCAGTAAGAGCAGAGATCTGCATGTGTTTTCAGTCACCTCATTGACTGAGTGACTGAGAACTTGACATTAGCCGGGAGCGAATCTAGGAAACTTTAAAAAGGGGATGACGCAAAAGGAACATTCATTCATTCATGAGTCATTCATGAGGCTCGCACTTGCTTACCCGTGATTCCTTTCTCCTCTGCATTACCGGAGAAGTCGTCCTAAATAAAGTGAAAGGCTACTCATTTGTCGGAATCAGTTTATATTATAAAATAAATTTACGTAGTTTCCTGGAGAGAGATTCCCCGGCAAAAGCACACCTTACTGCATACTGAAATTTCATGAAGAGAGGCAAGACAGCTTCAGATTTTTAATTCAGTTTAAAAGAGACACAGAGCACACTTGTCTGTGTACCCTTGGGAAGTCAGCAAACACTCATCTGATCCTTATACTGTATACTAGAATGCAGAACCTTTCTTCCCTCTCATATTGTCTACACAGCTGAAAAACATTATCAACATACATTTTTCACTATTTTTGTAAAGTCGGCAATGCATGCCATCTGAACCCGACATGAAGTCTTGCTTTTCTCTAACAAAAATAACTGGTTAGTGCCATGTCGTGGGAAGAGTAGTAGAATGGCCCTGCTTTGTCAAGCACTATTAGGAGAAAACTCGGTCGCACATGTGGCAAAATGCACCGGGGAGGCTCATCCCCACCCCAAGCAAGCGTTTAGTTTTGGCAGAGAGGAGGATGCTTAAACCAGGTTAAAAATAGCTCACTTAGATTTTCACCTCCTAGGCAGTGCCAATCCAGCGCAGGCTGTTGTGAACGACCACAGTGGCGACACCATCTGTGGAAACCGTGGAACCCGAGTTCTTAGGGGACCAAAGAGTACTATTACTCAGCTCCTTGCAAGCCAGGGACTAGTGAAGGAGAGAGTGAGCCAGGCGGCAGATGGTGGCCTCTCATCTGGATCCTAGTGGAGGAGCGGAGAGCGGGGCTGAGTTATGAGCAGAAAGGACAGGAAAAGCCAAGGAACGGTGCTCGGAGCTGCTAGCATTCAGTCTCAGGCCCCTGCATCAGACATTTAACAATGGAACATGTGGCTAATTCTTGCTAAGGTGTGCCTGTGCAGACAGTGCCCACGCGCTGAGTGGGCTAGTTGTGGTCACGTGATGGAGGCTCCGCAGCAGACTCATCCGCAGATTGAGACAGTGAGACTTGGAGATGCCATGGTTAGCTCTCCCAGAGAGGTGTCTTGCATGGAAGACCATTGAACCCCCAGCTATTAGTGCTTAGCCCCAAAGCTCTGTGCGGGTGCCAAAAAAGAGAAGTATAAAAGCTGTTGCTTGCTTTATGGCAGTAAATTTTCTTTGATTCCCCATTAACATGTGATGGTTTGAATAGTGAAAAGCAAGCACATCCAAGTCACATACAGGAAGTAAAACTGACCTGAATTTCTAGTGGGGAGATGAGGATGAGCACCAGGAAAATCTTGTGAATCCTCTCTCTTCTCTCTCTCTCTCTCTCTCTCTCTCTCTCTCTCTCTCTCTCTCTGTCTCTCTCTGTGTCTCTCTCTCTGTCTGTCTCTGTCTCTGTCTCTCTCTGTCTCTGTCTCTCTGTTTCTTTCTCTGTCTCTCTCTGTCTCTGTCTCTCTGTCTCTCTCTGTCTCTCTCTCTCTCTCTGTGCGTGTGTGTGCGCGTGCGCTCACACGTGTGCATGTTTGTGCACACTCGCGCACACTCATGTGTTACACCCAGAGGTTGACATTCAGCCTACTGCTTTTTCCATGGGTGTTGGAATCAGAACTCATGTCCTAATGCTCGAACAGCAAGTGAGCCATTTCCCCAGCCCAGACTTCTTTGTCCTCCTTCTTAGAGCAGGACTGGTAGGCATAGCAGAGAAGCAAAGAAGCAAGCTTGCTATCAAACTCTGTTTTTCTTGAGCAAGCATAATGGAAAATTCTCCCGGGCTTTCTTTTGCTTTGAACCTGACAAATGTCAATTTTTTTCCCTTACTGACTGTTATGCTGTGGGATTAATTATTTAATTGACAAAATGTGCTTCCTGCCACCGTTCCTGACATCATACACACAATAAAAATGAAAGATTAACAATATTAACAGTAGCCAGAGATCTTTGAAACCGTTCCAAAGAGTCGTGCTAATTTAGCTCATCTATAGAGTTTTAAAACGGGTTGTTCCCTGCATCCCTCTGTTCCTTAAGTGACCCGAGAAAATGCCATTTCACCTGCAGGGAGGGATAAACAGAGGGCCCATTGATGCAATTACACGGGGACCTCAAATGGAGAAATACAAGGTTTTTATTTTTATCAACAGACTCTTCTGGCCTGTCATCACATTTGATTTTAATCAGATTTTTATGGCTTCACTGACTGGCAGGTGACTCCTGCTAATTACATGTTATATTTAGATCCTCTAAAGCTGGGATGATTTCAATCTCACAGTTATGGGCAAGTGGACTGGATCTCACACAGATCTCTCTCTCCCTCTCTCCCTCCCTCCCTCCCTCTCCCTCTTTCTCTCTCTCTCTCTCTCCCTTTCCTTCCCCCCCTCCCTCTCTCTCTTTTGCTCTCTTCTCTCTCCCTCTCTCTTTCACTCTTTCCTCTCTCCCCCTGTCCAGTCTCCCCCTCTCTCTCTCCCGATCTCCCTTCCCCCCTCTCCTTCTTTAAATCTCCTGGTGGTTTTTTTTGGACCAGCAGAAAGATTCGCTCTTTCTGCAGTTCTGTTACCGTCTGTCTGTGTGAAGGGTTTACGGGTGGCAGTGACATGTTCTGCATTCTTAGGTACTATTTTCTTTGATTCCTCTTTGAAGAGAACTTATCTCATCGGGTCAGAGACACATTTCTTACAAAACAGCTGCCAACCATCTTCCCACAGTTTGGGAGAAGGGATAAAATGAAAGGTGTTTTTTCCCCCCTGTGCTAGAGCTGTCCATGCTATGCTCATGTGTCCCTGGAATTCCTGAGGAAACAAGAATAGATATAAAGCCCAACATGGAATATTGGTTTGAGGGTTGAAATTTGAAAGGCTGTTTCAAATTTCTAAGAGTAAGAAAACTTTCATTTCTCTGAACTGCAAGCCTATAAAAATTCCCCCACCCCAAATAGCCCAAAACCTAAGTGTTTAAATACAATCTTCTGTGTGAGTATAATGAACTTCAGAGTTTTAAAACACGCACGCACACACACACACACACACACACACACACACACACACACACAGTTACTGGCCACAGAGGAAGGTTATCATTGTCAGCATTGTATCTATGCTGATATATCAATGAAATCAAAGTAAGAACTGTTTTCGTAAAGAAGGGGAAAGAAGAAGGCAGATCCAAGACAGGCTCTCGATGGTTGCTAAGCATGACTCATCTCTGGTCTTCACCAGCTGTGTGGCCTCACCCTCAGAAATGCATCCCTCTGGGACTTGCTTTCTCTTTATTCCTAGCAGAATACAGTTTCCAGAAGCCCTGCTCCCACAAATGTGCCTCGTGACCTCATCCGTGGTTAGTCCAGGTTCAGTTCATGTGTGGTTTGTGGTGTTCTGCTGGTGAGCGGTGAGAAGGGGGAGAGGGAAAGAGAAAGGTACCCATGTGGGCCACCTCCTAAGTTAAGTCTCCTTGACTGTCTAGCTGGGGCAAATTTGCATGGTAAACCAACAGTATGCCACCTGGCTACCTCCCCAGCCCTACTTCATCTTTTGCATATAATTCGGTCCCTTGTTAAAGAGGAAACAAAAGAACATTAAATGTATAGTCTGGGCTCTCTGTAAATGTCTGCCCAGGATTCTGGCATAATGGTGGCTTGAATAATTTCCCCTTCATCCCTCCTCCGAGCTGGCCAAGCTGAGCCATGGCCCCTGATCAGCACTGTATATGGGATGAGGAGCTACCAGGAGGGTCCTGAGGGCTGAGTGAAGGCAGGTACGCTTTCATTTGTACCCCATGAGAGCTCAGAGCAGGTGAAGGCCAGAAAGAATGCTGCTGTAGTTTCAGGGTTCCAGACAGAGGCTGGCCTGTCTCTGAAATGAAGCTTACATATAAGGGGATGTCCTCTTAAAGGGGCAGCTGCTTTCTCGTCCCCTGAGGCTGGAGGGAAGCTTAAGCAGATGCTGTTTCCCACTCTTGGTATCATGTGAATGCCAGTCCGGAGATCTGCTTCAGGAACTAGGCAGTCCTGTTCTTAGGGAGTAGCAGGGCTTC